TGTAGCTGGTATCCTGCTAACCATGTACTTGTTGAACATTTTGTGTTAAATTGGTCTATATGTTTAGAAGTTTTGTTCACTCTCCATGCTGACAGGCCAGTATCATGCTGTGTTGTAATTGTGTCAACAAACCACAATGTACTGCTCCATGCATTTAGCCAATAGCAATAACTTCATTGATCAATAAGAAATTATAACAGAGGCTATACAGGAGCACGTCATATTTAGAGAGGAAAAGGAAGAGAAGTGTAGGTGGCCCTTCAGTCTGCATGAAGGGCTTAGAAGATAAAATGGAAAGAAAGTGTAGGGTAATTAATTAGTGTCTGTGCTATTTGTTCTCTTTTTTCTTTTCTTTGGCAGAGCTTGTGCTATCTCTGAAGCTTCAGGTGGCAAGAACGAAAAATACCCTTTGATCTAAGTGAATAAAGACAAATTCTATGTTTAGTTTTTCTCTTAGCTATTTACTGTGCTGCCTATAGTGGGGTAAGTGACAAGGCTTGAGGAAATTAATTGCTGGAGGAAATAGAAGAGAAAAAAGAATTATTCTGATTTATGTTTATTTTTAGTTTTTCTTCCCATATCAATCTTTAATTACCTCCACACAGCATGATGGATATATTTCTTACTGGACCAGGTCATCAGGTAGAGTATTGACACATGGGAAATTACTGCTGTTCTCCTCCCACCAGAGACATTACAGTTTATCCCATTAAGTTTGTTGTTAGTGCCGTCCAGTCAATTCTGACTCCTAGTGACTCTGTGTACAGCAGAGCAGAATCATGCCCAGTCTTTTTGTGCCATCCTCTCACCTTCCGGCGGTATATCAGACAGTGCTTTGCTGCTATGCATAGGGTTTTCATGGCCAATTTTTTTGGAAGTGGGTGGCCAGGTCCTTCCTAGTCTGTCTTAGTCTGGAAGCTCCACTGAAAGCTGTCCACCATGGGTGACTGCTGGTATCTGAAATACTGGTGGCCTAGCTTTCAGCATCACAGCAACACAGAGCTGCCACAGTACGACAACCAACAGACAGGCGGTGTGGTTCCCTGACCAGGACCCCGTTACCCATCCCACCAAGTATCCATTAAATAATCTTCTTTGGCAGTCCCTCCTTGAACACCACCATGCCATTTCTGTAGCTCTAAGGCAGTGCTGTCCAATACTGTAGTCACTAGCCATATATGGCTAGCAGCCACTATATTGCATAGCATAAATATAGAAAGCTTCCATTATCACAGATAATTCTTCTGAACAGCTCTGCTTTAAAGGAACCTCAAGGAAATGTGCTGAGGTAGAGTACCCTTGTAGTCATTACTTAAGTTTTCCCTGCCCAAGAATCCCCTTCTGGGAACTATTTTCCCTCCTCCCCAGTTCATCCATATGGGTCCCATAGGGGCTGCTGTATTCTTCCATAACCCTGCCATTATGGCCTCAGAAGTTTTGTCAGAGGTATGTACCTGACCCAAGCTGGGCCAGTTTTAGTATCTGGCCTGCTGATTGGTCTGGGGTAGGGTACCTTATTTAAGTAGAGCCAATGATACCCCTTCTTTTATGGAATTTATGAACTTGGGGCCCAGAAAGTTGGCAGAATTTCTGGGCTGTAAAGCTTGGACTTTCTCAGGAGTCATGTCTTCCACCACAGGGATAAAGTTAGCCTGTGGCGAGCAAGCAAAATGAAGGCAACATGCAGATAAAGGTAGAGATAAGAGGCAGAAAGCATAGTGATAGCATTCAGGTTCCCAAGTCTCCCAGCTGATACTGACGCCTAGCCTTAGTTCTATACTTATATCTTTATAATTAAGTTTCCATTTTCCTTAAGCTAATTCAAGTTGAGTTGCTGTCAGTGGCAAAGTTACCAGAATAAATAAGTAATATTATAGCTGTTTCCATGACATTATGATTCATGAAAGAAATGCAATATTAATGGTTTTAACTAGATTTTTCATTAGATCCTTATATCCAGCTACATCTTCTCAGATAATTGCAACTACTAACAAGGCTTAAAGTTTAAAAATGTCTCTCTTATTCAAAGACTCAGAATCCCTGGATAACATAATAAAAGAGTGAAATTTTCAAAAATGTAATTTTTTTGGTATAGATACTTATTAAGTTTCTATTTTTATATATGCAATTATACATTGCTAGATAGTACTTTTTTTGTTCTTTCAGTGACTTTGGTCTTTTTCAACTGAATAGCTTAAATTAAAGAAAGGAAGGTTCCAACTCTAAATATCATTTGTTTCTTAAAAGTACATTGGGAACTTTTGTAACTTAGAACATACATTTTTATCAAGATAGTAGTATTGGTATTAATAGTAGTAGATTATTTGGGTTGTCACATGAAAACTACTTAACTAATGTAGGCGAAGCGAAGTTACTTTTCACTTTCCCTTTGAGTTAGTCTTTCCACATGATTCAGTGCTTTCTTTTTCCACAGATGTTTCAGCCAACCCCTGGAACATTAAGCCTTGTGACCTTCCTGGAAGTCAAACTATCATTTAAAACAATATTTCTGTGAAATATTGAGTAACTTAAAATACTAAAAACACGTTTCCATTTCCTAGTCACAGAAAGGGAATTACTTTGACTTCTTTTGTTTTTCTTTTCCCATTTCAGCCCCTAACTGCCCCCACAACACATGATAGGAAAATTAGGTAATTGCTTGAACTATATGTTTGGAAACTGTTTTGCAAATAATTCATTAATAAAGAAGAATGAAGAATTAAAAATGAAGCAGTTCTTGAACATCCTCTAGTGCATAAAGGTGTGTAGACTAAAGATAGTTCAGAGGTATAAAGTCAAAATTAGAAAAAATTTGTGTCATTAGGTAGGATGTGTAATTAATAAAATGTAAAACATTTAAATTATAAATAATGGACACTCCCACAAATTAAAAGTATCAAACTCAGAGCATACTTTAAAAATAGGAGTATGTAAGAAGCTAAGTCTCAATTCCATTTGGCTGTTAAGCAAACTCAGAAGCTATATGAAATGCTGGAAAGTTAAGGTAAGCCACATGATATTGTCCAACTAGTCTCATAAAAATTTTCCAACTAGTATTTGGAGAGCACTGCTGTTTTTTTCTTTTTTTAAAGGCAGTGTTAGCAGGGAGAATTCTGCATTCTAATCTGGGGGGAAAGGTCATCAATTTAGTCTTGGCCTAAATTCTCATGTTTGGCAAGTTTGAAGCTCAAGTTCACCACACACAAATTATTTTTTCTGAGGAAACTGTGGTGATATTAACCTGGGTTATGGAAGCTCACATAACTTGGTCATATATATAGTAACTTGTGTAATTGGTGATGAAATGATGATTAAGTTTTTCTGGCTTTCAATATGAAATTCTTAAAAAGGTTGAACAATTGGATTACTCAAAGCCAGTCAGAAACCGCAAACCCATAACTGTGGTTTCAAATTCAAATCAATGCCTTGTTATTCAAGACTATTTTAAGAGAGCTTGCCCGGAGAAAATATTTTTGGCTCTATACATATTTTACCTGAATCTCATAGATATCTATGCTAAACACACACACACACACACACACACACACAGAGCTTTCCTAAAATATAGACTTTTTAATATTTTCTGGGTAGAGCAGTATTTCGTTTGATCCTACAATAACAACTCTTGCTTGCAGCCAGCTTTTAGCACAGTCTCTGTTTCAATAAATATTCACTGAACTAATGAAAATGGTAACGAATGAGTCTATTGAACATAAACCGTGACTGAGGGAGAGATTATATAAAAGCAATGAAAGGCAGGCACTTTCTGCTCTAGATTTGCAGTCCAACCTCACTTACATAAGTGCAAAAGATTTTCTTCTTTGTGTCAGTCCCCAATGTAGCTATTTTGCACTAGGAGTTAGCATTTTCTTCACGAGGAAGAATCACTAACTCTCTATTCCTCAATGTTGTTAATGCCATTGATTGTCCAGGTCCTCAAAGTATCAAATGAAGTTGAGAGCTGGGTAAATGGTTGAGTGGTCCAAGTACCTCAGGTCAAAATTAAGGGGACCATTGTTGCTGTGTTCAAGGCTGGCCTGTCACTGTTCAGAACGCTTATGGGTTTGCAAATTTTAAAAGCCTGCATGTGACATGCTTTTCAGGCCATTTGTCAAAACGTCTGCCTGATCCCTACTTTTGTATGGCCTCAAATGTGTGTTTATCACGTGTAGACAAATGCCAACTCATATTTCCAAGGGGAAAACCAAGCTCAGGGTGGTGGCAAGCTTTACCAGAAGGGAGTCTAACAAGTGAAGTGTGTGCGTGTGTGTGTGTGTGTGTGTGTGTGTGTGTGAGAGAGAGGGAGGGAGGGAGAGAGAGGGAGGAGCTGCTGTCCTTAGGATCCCTCTCCCCTGTCTGCTCTTTGCCAACTAACTGTCTCTGCACCCCACAGCGGAGATCTGAGGCGAGTATTTGGCTGATTCAGGCAAAGCAAAACAAAAACAAAACAGACTTTAAGATTGCAGAATCTGAGGGAGTCACTGGGGGGGAATCCTTGAGCCCAGTTTTCAACTAAGGAGATCTGTCCATGGTCCTGACCACATCCTTCCCCACTCTCCTCCTTCATCGACTTCGGGCGCGGCAAGCACCCGAGGACCCGACGCCTCCGCCGTGGTCCTGGGCGCCGGGAAGCCCCGGGCCGAGCGGGTCGGAACCGCCCGCACATGCTCAGTGAGCCTCCGGCTGGTCTCGGGCACGGAGGCCGGGGCTCTTCGGACTGGGCACCTGTTTTGAATCCCGGCGCGACGCGCTGTGGGGGCGGCGTGGTGGGGGCGGGGCGGCG